TTATCTGGAACAAACTTCCAGAAAACTGTAAAAGTGCGGAAAGCCTGAGTTCCTTTAACTCAAGACTAAAAACACATTTGTTTAGGATTGGCTTCGACAGTTCTAGTTAAAAAGTTTAACTGAAACATCATTAGTTTTTTTTTTCTTTAGTCCAACTGCTTTTAATGTTTTTTCTTGTTTCTGCATCTTATTTATTATTTATTTTTTCTTCTACTTGGTGTTTTATTTTCTTATTTTAATCATGTAAAGCACTTTGCATTGTCTTTGTACTGAATTGTGCTATACAAATAAATTTGGCTTGCCTTGCCTTTTTCATGATATGCTAATTTTGTGAGATAGGAATTTTGGGTTTTCATGAGCTGTATGCCAAAATCATCCGTATTAAGAGAATAAAAGACCTGAAATATTTCACTTAGTGTGCAATGAATCTAAAATATATGAATGTTCAAGTTTTATCATTACATTATGGAAAATAATGAACTTTATCACAAAATGCTAATATTTTGAGAAGGACCTGTAGAATTGGTTTAACAAAATTAAAAAAACAATTTTAAAAAAGCCATCAACCTGGTAACACCTGAGACATGTGCCCAAACGAAGATTTAAAAAGTGCTGAGAAACTAGACAACAATGTTAACACTGAGGGAGAGAACCAACAACAGTTTTAGATCAAATATAACAGGGGGGCAGGACGTATCAACACTATAAGGGTGGGAACTGTTTTTATATTTTTATGGGGGAACAGAACAAAAGTAATTCCCAAAAATCAGTGCAACAGCCCTATGCTAATATTTTGAGAAGGACCTGTATTCTGAAAACAATCCCATCTCCTTATCCGTCTATCCTGCGAGCTGCTTTTGATTCTCTGTTATTTGAACACTTCAAAGCTGCAGTATCATCTGATTTTGAGGCCATGGTTGTGAGACCCTTTAGATTTTTCATTACTATAAACAGCAGAGGTGAACCTCATTAGATAAGATGTAAAAACTGGGGCAAAAGTCACAGCAGAGCTGAGGCACGTGACCACTATCCGCTGCTCTGATTGGCTGTCAGGGCGTTATCGTTAGAGTGGAGCAGAGGTAGCTGACAAAGTCGGTCGTGTTTATGCAAAAGCTTCAACCATGCTTCTTAACAAGGTGCGTCTTCTCGAGTTTAAATAACTGCTTGTACAAACAGCGACATGTAGTCGGTTAATTTATATATAGAAGCTTTAAGAGACTTATTTTGTCAAGTAAACCAAAGCGAGCTGTAACTGTTACGTCACATGCTAACGTTTGTTAGCGAATCGCTCTAACGACTGAAACATGAGAAATAACAGTTTTTACAATTAATTAATTAGGAAATATTTATATTTTGCTTACCAAGGCAATAATTTACATATTTTCGTCATCTCCTTAAACACAGTAACCCTCGTTTATCGGTGGCTATTCTTCTAGCATTAGCTGTAGCTTTCTGTGTAAATATCTCCAGGCTCAGGGTCCATTCCAAGGTGCAAGGAAGATTTATAAGAGTTTATGCTGTGATTGGAGCTGATTTATAGGAAATCAGTTAAGTTTGCTCTGGTTTCAAGTGTTTAGAACATTGAGACAGATTATTATAAAAGTGACAATGTTTGGATACAGATTGTAATGCAATGAATAAGAACACCCATTAAATATGACGGGAAATGTTCTTTCAAAACATTTTATGTAACTGAAAAGGAAATAATCTCGTGTCTGCAGCTCAGAAAAAAACGAAAAAGACAAAGCTGCGTTTTATTGAATTATATTCTCACATAACTTATGTATAAAAAAAATACATCTCAAAATATTTTCAGATCATGCTCAGGAATGTTTAGAAAACATAATTGAGGGACTTTTTACTGGTTAGACTAAGACTGGAAAAAATGTAGAATTGCACAAAGGTTAAAATGATTTTGTTCTCTTTTCAGTGAAGTTTCTCACATTGGTTAGAGGAATCAAAGATTTTACTCAAGAAAAAGTATGGTGCAGTGAAACTACTCACAGAGTTACATATTTTTATCAAAGGTACTCAAGTTGATGTAAGCAACACAGACTTTACCCTTATACATCCTAAACTGAACAGAGTCACATTTTAGGGAGTTTTAGGACTCTGTAGTTTGATGTGTCTATTCTGGAAGTGACTAATGGTTTTCAAGATGATTCAAACGTTCTTTAATAAAGAACTTCTATTTATTGGCTGTATGAACACAACCTGGCATAGTGGTATGTATTTTGTTCTCTGTGGAGGTCCAGGATGACCATGTATCTGTTCTCGGTGGCTTTGTTACTAGTTCTTGTTCTAACTGTACATTTTCTCAAAACAAAAACTACTGTTCCATTTAACAACATACTGAGGTCAAGAACAACTAGTATTAATACAAATAGTACAACTGTATTGTGATGGTGCTGTTCATGCAGGTGTTCAGAGCCAGCCTTCGGTCTGGGATTCGTCTGCAGAGCTCCAGTGCTGCAGCAGCTAAAACAGCTTCCAGCGGTCATGTTGGATCCTCTGGCTTCTCTTTTGGTGAGTCGGAGGAAAACATAACAGTAAGAAATGTTTAAAGTGCAACAGTTTCTGACATCGTTTGGCACCAGTCTAATCCACTTTTACACACACACAAATATCCACATAAATGTTGAAAAGAAATCTTCCCAGACTAATTATTTCTTACATGTCACAGAAATAAAAGGCCACCTGTTCCCTTTTTTTTTTTTTTATCAAAGCATTGGATTTCAGTCTTAGTTCTGTCAAACTGTATTAAAAATCTCTGCTGAAATATATATTCATTGAATGCAATACAAATTTTATTTCCCTTCTTAAAGGTATTGTGGAGGACTTTGTAAATTTTTTTAAAAGACCCTCCCAGTCCACTTTAAAAAATAAAAATGCATGATCCGGTTAATGAGATAACCACCTCAGGGTTGGTCCACTGCACTGAGCTTGCGCCATCTTTGTTATAAGTCCCTGCTGTCGGGTAGCGACTGCGCCGCTATGACAGCAAAAGCAAAAATATATGCCTCCTCTGAGGCCTTTCTTTTCTTCTCATACACTTGGTAGACACAGTTTCTCTTATGACCCTCAGCTATTTTTCAAGAACCACTGTGAGAAAGGTTTCAATGACTGAAACCGAGCACGTAGGACGGCCTTACGTAAACATATCACCAGAATGATTAACAATTAGGAGGGCCACTTATTTAGATGACCCACCCGAAAATAAAAGATCGTCCTCTATACCTTTAAAGAAACTACTCTGTAAGAGTTGTTTGTTTGAGTTGGAGCTACACACATTTCTGGAAACCAATTTTAATAGTTTAACTGTTTTTGTCTGCTTTTATTATTATTTATTGTGCTCCAGAGCTGACGGATCAGCAGAAGGAGTTCCAGCAGCTTGCCAGGAGGTTTGCTCGTGAAGAGATGATGCCCGTTGCAGCTGCTTATGACAAGAGTGCTGAAGTATGTATCGAGAACATTTTTAAAAACTTTTTGAAACCTTTTTTTCTAAATATTTATTCATTTAATCTGTGTAGTGTTTTCTTAAAAGGTCTAAAGCTACGCTTCAATATTCATGATGCAACAGCAGCTTCTTTTGGTTTAGTTTTTATTAAAGGTTGTTCTGCTCTTTGTAACTAGATTAGAAACCAATACAGTAAAAAATAAAATGATATTGTTAAATTGCTTTTCAAAACTTTTTTTAAATATCAAGGATTCAGTCCTTCAGCTGGTGTTTTATCTTAATGTATATATTTATCGTGTTTATAATCATGTTGCTGCGTTAATGGAGCTGTTAATGTAACTCCCCTTAAATATGTCTCCTAGTATCCGTTCCCCATCATCAAGAAAGCATGGGAGCTCGGTCTGGTGAATGGACACATTCCTCAGGAATATGGTACGCTCCTCTATGACAAAGCAAACTATAACTAGATGTTAAGCACAACCCTATTAGAGTCATTTAAAGTTGTGAAAAGTAGGCTGTCTGATGTACATGACGACCATTTTTGTGTTTAAATTGGATTTTTGTCCAACTCCTTTGTTCAAGTTTTGAATTAATAGTGGAAATGCCCTTCATGCGCTCCACATCCTTTTAAACTGTACTCATGTTCCAAAATTTTAGTGTAAATGCCTGGGGAAAAAAAAAAAAAATTTTTAAGGAAAGCTTTTGTACATTGTACTTTAGAGTTGGATTTTTTTCAGTCAAGAACAAGCAAATCTAGCTTTGTAAATGTTCGAACAAAGATGATCTGATACAAAAAAAATAAATAAATGAAAGCAGGTTTATTTTTGTTTAATGATTAGTTGACAAGTTAACTATAAAATACTAGGTCAAATTTTCTGCAGATTGTTTTTCAAGTCACTAATAAAACATAAATGCATTTGTGTCTAGAAAAGATTATAAAATAAGAGATGAAAAATAAGCAAATGTAATGAATGCAAGACCTGATTAAGGTTAACAGGCTGCTATAGGGCTTTAGAACAACATCTGGTTTACACCACATGGTGTCTCCATTCTCCTTATTGAAAAGGCCTTTTTTATAAAATAAAGAAATGATTCTCCACTTTGAGATAAATGTTATCTAATTTTAAAACATCTAAACTTGGCATATTTTACACTCAGAGAATCCTACTAAACAATTGTTTGTTTTTTTTCTCTGAAGTTATCGTATCAAATACACCTTAATTTATTATTATTATTTTTTATTATTAGTCCTGGCCAAGAGGCAGCAAAGTTACATAAAAAACAGATACATTAAATTAAATGACAGGTACATAAAAATCATATCAAGTAAAATAATTACAGATCATTGAAGCTGCTTCAAATTATTTCCCTTTTAACTTAAAAGCATTTAAATATAAAAACTCAGTCAAATTCCAGTTTCTTTATAAAAAAAAGAATCCATGCACAAGGAGCAGCATAGCTAAAGGCTTTATTCCCTAGTTCTGTGTGAGCAAAAGGAACAGTGAGCAACAGCTGGCTGTTGGATCTCAGGGCATAAGAAGACATGCTTCTCTGTGTAAGTAAGGTACAAATGTAAGAGGGCAGTAATCCAAGAAGGGCCTTGTAAATAAAAGTCTACCAATGATACTGCCTCCTCGTAGAGAGGGAAGGCCATCCCACCTGAGAGTACAGGTCACAGTGATGTCATGGATCTAGTGTTTGTGATGAACCTTAATGAAGCATGGTAAACAGTTATAAACTCCATATCAAGTAAATTACTAGATACACCATACAAACTTTGTCTCACTTACAACACAGTAATCATCTAAATAGGACTTTATTTAATCTGTTTTGTTTAGCTGACCCCCTTATGTGGTGGTTTTCCTTTTAGGTGGGATGGGTTTGTCTATCTTTGATGCCTGCCTCATCACAGAGGAGCTGGCTTATGCCTGCACAGGAATGCAGACGGCCATGGAGGCAAACTCGCTGGGAGTAAGTAGAACTCGATTATGATAACAAATCTATAAATGGTTTTAACGTGTGTATAACGACACCATAGTAGTGCAACAGAAAGTTGTTTTTTGATTTTAGTAAAGGGTCCTGTTGAAATTCTTGATGATCTGTTTTATCGAAGGCTTTAATTCTTTTTAAATCAAACAAATGTTGGGCTTTGTTACTAAGGGGCACATATAAATACTTTATTTCCTTTAGTTGAAATGAAATTTCCATGTTTGTCCATGGCTGAAACTTAAAATGTAAGCTTTTCTCATTGGCCAGAGAATGATTTTATCTTCTACAGCAATGATCTCAAACTCAGATCTCTAAGGTCCAGTTTCCTGCAACTTGTCTTTCGTACCCTGCCTCAATAACATACAGTCAAGCTCTACAGAGACATATCTAAATGTTTCAGGACAATGGGAATCTAGACCAATACTCAACAGCAATGTTAATAATTGAATATGTTCGGACGGACTTTATTTATCCCAAACTGAAAAATTTCTGCGTAGCAGCAGCAGCTTTGCACATAGTGACAGTCACTACACAATGAGGTAAAAAGATAAATAACATTTAGACATATTTACAATATGATATATATAATCAGACACATTCCCTTACCATTATTGAACAAGTTTTATAACACTTTGTTTCTAACACCTTAACAATAACATACATTAATTTTGTAGCTCAGTATAAATGAACTCTCTATTTTCCACCCTGCAGCAAATGCCTGTTATCATTGCTGGAAATGAAG